TATTATTTTTCAAGACACATGTACGTACATAGAATATACGCGATTTTGATAGTTAACAGATTGATACGTGTAGCAAGTAGTAGACGGCGGATAATAGGTATATACGCGTTTTCCATAGATCATTGATAAAGGTACATAAATAAACAGATAAATCGACGAGACTAAATCACTGGTTCTTTCTGATTCACGATCCGAAGTGCAGAATGCGGAGGGCACATAAATCAACCACTTAGATTCAAGTACGTGAGTACAGTTGCAGGATAACAACCGCGATGACTGCACGAAAATGAAATACTTTGAATTTCGGTTGAGAAATTATGATAATAAATCAATGGCCTCCACTCTTAATAACACTATGATCGGCAACCCCGCCTGCACTATAATCAAACTATCTTATCCGCATACCGGTGGAATAAATCGTTACGGAATTTCTTTCGTAACGTGTAACTACTTCGATACCTTTGCAAATTTTTACGATAACAAGTTATACGATTATATAACGATATTAATATGCAGGAACGATTTTACAAATTACGACCGTGATAGCGTTATTTATGTATAGTGTGGTCTTAGGCATTTTTTACGACACTAGGAATTATTCAAGCGAAGTTATAGAAAAGTAGAAAAGAAATGAGCGTGAAATTCGATAATTCATTTACACGGGTTTGTCTTTAAAAAATAATAAGCACTGTTGTCTGGCTCAATGCATATAATATTTCAATTATATGTCATATATGTGAATAATTGTATCAATGTATGCTATGTTTCCATCATATGTCATATAGCATCGTCATCATATTAAAAAAACAAGAAATTTTTGCGTTTTATATATAAAATAATCTTCGTAAACACGAAACAATATGTCATCCATCGAAAATAAGAGAACATTTTGAAAACTGTGTCTCTTGGACAACAGTGTTTATCAGATAACAAAGTAGAATTCTGTTAATATCGTATTTTCTTCCTGTTTCTTGCATCGGTACAGTGGATTGAAATTTACCAAGTGAAAACAATTATCGTACAAATTTACGTAATTACCTTCTGTTGTGAATTTCAAGACATTTCCCTTTGGTTCGGCGAAAGAAGCACATTCTCTCAAAGTTATAACAACTTTCCTCTCGAGTTACAACAATAGATTCCTTGCAGCTCTACCGTGACAATCGAGATATGTACAGTATCTTGTTTTTGCGAGCTGTTTAATATTTACATTTTAACTTACAAATACTGCGACAAATATTGCAATTAAATTTAATCGAAGTTAACAAACTTAACAAGCAGAAGTAATAAACACAGTATGAGAAACATTCGAATATAATTTCAATTGTTTGCTCAATGTACACTTTCATATGTTTCAGACGAAAATAGAAGAATTTAGCGTAAAAGATATTGGAAATTGGAGAAACGCGAGGAAAATATTTAACCATTAGCAAAAAATGATCAAACGCGATTTGCTTATGGAATTGGACTTGTATTAAAAAAAAATTTCATAAAAAGGAACGTATAGACTTGATGAGAATGATTTATCGTGATATATCGTGCAATAAACAAACTTTATTATTGAAGCATAAATTTGCTTTAAACCAGTTGAAGCTTCCCTGTGTTGTTGTTGTTATTATTATATTTCCATTTCAGAGAGAATTTTGTCTTATATGTATGTCGTGTTGTCATATATTCAAGTTATTTTTATTAAAATGCACACACGTAAACGTTAAGATTTAAATCTTTCGTGGATAAGATCTGCGTCTTCCATTATTTTAATCAAGATTCTGTAAGCAATTTCATTTATCTTCAATCTCAATCACGTCATAGTATATACAGATACTTAAAATGCAAACTATTTAAATAACAAGAATTAAACGCGACTAGAATCTTTTTAATTTTAGAATTCCAACCAAGTTCCTGCAACCAATTTTATTTAATCTCAAACTGAATCACTGATACGCATAAATATTACACGAGTAATAAGTCGATTAACTAATAAGGATTCGATGTGACTGAATTTTAAAAATTTTAGAATTTCAATCAAATCCTTGTAACGAATTTTATTTACCTGCACATCATCGTACACACGAATATTACAAATGCAAGTTGACTAAATAATAAGGATTCATTAGTTGAAATATTTATTTATTCCTGTAGTCTGAATTTACATCGGAGGCCCTTGAATTCCTCGAGAAGCTTAATTTCATCGAGTAGTTTCTTGAATGCCGTGCGCTCGTAATTCATTCAGACGGTAACGACAATCGATCCGATAAAATACAGCGAGGTCCTTCGAAAACTGTCAACGACCCACGGTTCGTTCCTCGTTTTCCTGTTGGCTCTCGAGCATAGCAGCGCAAGCGGCCCGCTAATAAATCAGCCAGCGGCTAG